TAAGATGTAGATGAGCACTTTCTCAGTATGCTCCCAGGAAGTAGAATGTATGATAGTTTTGTAAATAAATCTAATTAAAATAAAGCTGTAATTAAGTTAGAGGACTATATAATCCTTAAACATAAATAAGGTTTTCTTTAGGGTGCCAGTAATTCTGCTGTTTTAGTAAAAGAAATATAATTGTAGCCTTCTTAACATAGTTGCTGCTTGAATGTTATTCTTGGTTGGACAAAGCCTGTTCATAGGAAGATAGAAGTTGCCCACTTAATATGGAAGTGGAAGCCTCAGGATCATCCTCACCTTTGTTAAGAAAGAAGTACATATTTAGCTCATCTGCCCACCTTTTTTGGATTTCTCAAAATATTAAAAATAGATATATCAGCTGATTCAGTAATTCTACTCCTTGGCATTTACCCAAAGAACACAAAAACACCAATTTAAAGGAATAGATGCACTCTGGTGTTTACTGCAACACTATTTACAATACCCAAGTTATGGAAACAACCTAAGTGCCCAACGACAGATGACTGGACTAAGAAGATGTGGTACAGATGTAAAAAAGATGAGTTCCTCCTATCTGCGATGACATGGATGGAAGTTGAGGGGATTATGCTAAGTGAAATAAGCCAGAGCAAAAAGACAAATACTGGATAATTTCACTCATATGTGGAATATAACAATACAAAACAAAGGAACTGACAGAACTAAGCTAAAACAAAGTCTAGAAATTACTGCAGAATTGAGACCACTAGAGGGATGGTGGGGTCGGGATAAAGTGGGGAGGGAGCCCGATGGTACGCGATAAAGAGAAACAGGTGCTCTGGAAGGGAGGGCAATGATGCCTATCTAAGGGGCACTGTTTAAATCAGAAACAGTGATGAAAATACAGTGATGTAAACCAACGTTACCTCAAATAAATGAATTACTTAAAGAACAAGACTAATTTTTTCTCATCCAACTATTATTTTTAAGGTATATAAAATAAAGAACTGTGCTAGAACTTAATAGAGGTGATTACAAAGTAGTATAAGAAAATCTGCCCTCTCAAGTTATTTGATTTGACAGGGCAGCTGAACATGCATGCTTCTAAGTCCACTGTAATGCAGTACATGACAAGAAATTGTGGAAAATACTTTCTAAAGTCCTTAAGAGCTTACTATAGCCATTTATTATATCATTTGATTCTCACAACAGCCCTTAGAGAAATTTTAAAATTTATACCCATTCTCCACATAGATAAGTTCTGTCAATGAATATTTGTGCTTCTTATATCTGAAGATCTATTTTCTGAATGCAGTTGAATAGATTACTGTCTTATGCAAATACTGTCTTATGCAAAATACTGCCTCTTGCCTTTATAGAGAGCAACACTGACATTTAATCAACAAACATATCATTGCAAATTAAAAATTTCTTTCCTGTGTTAGATATAGTTCATATTAGAAAAGAAAAAATTTAAGACTGATGAGATGAAACGCTGATATAAATTCTTGAAAACCTTAGTTCTTAAAATGTCTTGGTATGAATAATTGAAATTATTCACAATATGGAGGTTAATGATAATAAGTGATATCTTGTCAATCTAAAAACTAAATTTATTCAACTAGTGGACAGTATTTAAAATACCAACAATCCAGCAACTAAAAATGCACTAATAACTCTATCAAAGAGACAATAAAGTTCCCAGAAATGGTAAGAGATGATACATCTAAGAATTGCAAGAGGAAACCAAAATAAACAAAATAAAAACTGCCAAGTATGGTAAGAATAATATATTTTCCAGGTTGCAAGATATATAAGAAAATGTAATTTCAAAATTTTCTACTCCATTTTAGAATAATCTTTAGCTTTTTGAGAAACCAAGTAGAGTTTAAGAACACGGATTCAGGAGTCAGATTGGCAGTGTGCTGACCCCTGATCTATATAAGAGATAATGACAGTATCTACCTCATAGGGTTTTCAATGAGGATTAAATAAATATATGCAAAGTGTTTAGAGAGTACCAGGCACACGATACAAGCTATACCAGGCACACGATACAAGCTACATCCATGTTTATTATTACTACTATATTTCTCACCAAATTTTATTTTCACAATACCTACTATTCCTGGATGACTTCAAGCATTACTTAGTAATGAAAAATTTGGTCTACTCTAAATTGCCAGAGAAAAAGTTTAACACTCTATATTGATGAAGCTTCCACGTGTAGCATTTCAATCAAGTAATCAGAAGGAAGAGTTAGCAATGGTGCTGAGGCAGTCCCCATAAGCCCCAGCAGGAACATCCTTAAAGGAAAGATGTAATAACTAAATTACTTGAAACATTCACTTAAACACAGCTATTTCTCAATCATGATGATATTTCTCTCCAGCTATACAATCAGAAAAACCTGTTTTAATGTTTAATATTGACGTTATGCTTAATATGTTTAATATTGATGTTCTTTTTTAAATTAAGAGGAAATCAGGAAGCAGCAAACATGTACTAAGTCAGTAAAAATGCTGCAGTATTTTAATATATGCAGAATATAATTGCCTTAAGTAGTCTCAAAAGTAACTGTATATATTAACTGCATATATTTATGGAAATCATAACAAGGTATGCCAAAATTCTAAAAGAAAAAATTTTTAAGCAATCAGGACTCAATAATTTTAATCATACAACCTATGATAGAAAAACAAAATTAGAAAACTTAACTCTTTTGTGGTTGAATAGGGCCACACATAAATATTAAAATGCAAAACATACGATGATATAGTTTTGAATATTTTATGAGTTATTATATTAAAATTTAGATCTTAATGAATTAAACTTTATAACCTACTGATACCTAACTGTGAAAAAACACTGATCTTGATTCACGCAGTAAATTTTAATCAAATAATACGCTAAATACGAATGCAGTAACTTCAGCTTAAACATACTTATATGGGATTCTGTGACTGCAGTTGCCCAACTAGCTTCTCCATACACTTTACATGACACTGTCGAGTAGGAAAGGATGTTTACAGACTATAAACTAGATTTGTAGATCATGGAAATAAAGGAAAAAGTCAGTACTTCTTTTTCTTCTAAATCTTTACATAGGTATGCATTATCATAGTTGGTGGAATACTAATTAACTTAGTACCAACAGCTTTAAGAATTGTTTCTATCAAAGTCATTTATGCTCAAAGTTTGAAATTTGAATAATCTTAATATCTCCTCCCACCTCCATCCTAGTCTCTTTCCTCAGTTAAGAGTCTTTTCAATTCTTTTAGTTATTCTTATAGCAAATACCTCTACATTTCTAGTATCTATAATATGCTTTTCTTATGAACCATCCATTTTAAAAAGATTGGTCTGAATCCCAATACCATTTACTAGTTCTGTTACATTTAGCAAGTAACTTTTTTAGGTCTCAGTTTCTTGTCTGTATAATAAAAATAATAGCATCTACCACATAAAGTTATTATAAGGATTAAATGAGGCAAAAATAATATATTTGTAATGGCTTGCTCAAAATATTGTGATCATATAGTGATAGTGATTGTTATTCTTACCTTATGGTAGATGAGGGATTTGAATTCACTTAAACACCCCTTTCTCTATCCTCCTAAAATAGTTATAGCATATCAGATTTTTGTTAATTTAGTGTTTTCTTCATGTCCTTTTTATATTTAAAGTAACCAGATTAAAGAGAATCTCAGTCTGTAGCCATATGAAAACAATTTATGAGAGACTGTCAAGCTAGTTAAAATGCTGGACCACTAGAATATTCTAGATAACTTTCAATTTGGCAAATTTCAAAACACAGAGATTTCTGGACTCTGAGAAACTGGATTACAGAACTTTTATGGCAGCTTTAAAATATTTTAATTCAAATCTCTGTGAAATATACTACTGCAGATATTATAATACATTTTTATTCTTTACCTTTTTGCATTTTGTTATCATTTTCACAGCTAAAATGTTTAAGATGTATACATAATAGTTTTTCATTCTATGCAATGTTTTTCAAGATTGACACCATTGCTTGATACACTATTTTCCAGTAATTAATTTAAGATGAAAGCTTCTATTTACAGTTTATAATTTCAAGTGGTCTTTAATTAAGTTGTAAGAAGTAATACAAGTTGCATAGAGCAGATGCCTGAGATGTCTGAAATTCTAAACATTTATGTAGCAATTTTATGCTTAGGAAAAACATGACTTAATGAGTTACAACCTATTTTAATAAAGTACTATAGTAAATTGGAGGCATTTTAAAGGCAGAAACAAGAAGTCAGTTATATAATTACTGAAGCATCACAAATTAATTCACTTTTATACCTCTTAATCTGTAAATGCAGTATCTTCATTCAACCAATAAATAACATTAATAACATATATGCCAAGGTTCTGATATTCTTCCTCATTAAATTTTAAGTTATTTAATAGGGATAAGGAATGTCTTATTTACCTGGTATCACCATTGCCTAGGACAATGTCAGACTGGTATATGTGTAGAAATGTTCAATACATATTCATTGGATAAATAAATTCAGCTTAACTTGGTCTCAGATAATTTACAAATGCCTGACAGTAAAACACCAAATACTATATTAACATAGCATTATTCTTTTCAGCATAAACAAAGCACGCTATTTAGTATATTACATTTTATGTTTTATTGGTGGTGACATATAGTAGTAAAAATCTAATATATATTAATTACCATGGTCCTTTATAAATATTTAAAGTTCTTTGTCATGAGCATAATCATACCGCAAGTCATACCATTTATTTTATTTAAAAAATAAAATCCATTTAAGATATCATAAGTATCATAAACCATGATAAGATATTGAGATGGTTACAACTTGGACTTCTAAATGTTTAATTCCAATCAAGTGTAGACTTGTACCAACAAGTTAATAATTTTGGTGATCCCTTCTGAGAATTTAGTTTTCATATAATGGTCAGATTAGCATACCTGAAGTTCTATGTTCTTAAAAAGCACATTCAGAGACCATAAATGCAAACAGAAGATTATAAAGTACTCTGAGATGCAGAAACATTTTTTAAAAAATATAAAATATTCATTTTGCCTTAAATATATCCTTTGAATTGAAAATTGATGAGGTTTCCAAATATTATCTTTTCATGTCTTCACAGCCTGGATCTGATCTGATAACAAAAAGCAAACAAAAATTATCAGTTTCTTCAAGGCAAAAGGTATTTTCTAAAGCAATCCTACACAAGTCTATGAGAATATGATTGAAATCTATGCATTCACCTTTTTTTTTTTAAAGCACAATTCACTCTATAGTGTTTTTATTTTTGTTGAAGCTGTATCTGCACAGTTAAGAGACAACTACTTCTATCTATGTTGCCTGTATGAAAACAAGTAGTCTCTTTCTTGCGACATCTCTTCTTTCTCTCTTCATAGGCAACTGCATCCAACTTCCTTTTAGGTGATTGCCACTTATATCTAAATAATATACTTTTATTATTGGGCTTCCCCAGTGGCGCAGCGGTTGAGCGCTGGGTTGCGAGGCAGCCTCTGCAACGCCGGTTTGATCCCCGGCCGCTGGGTGAGGGTCCCACATGGCGCGCAGACCTCTCCTGCCGCCCGCTGCTCCCCTCAGCAGTGTACTTCAGTCCTTCTGCCTGCTCTGCTCTCCGCTCTAGTGAATTCTCTCACCCTCCCGCGCTTCTGACTGTACGCAGTGCTTGTATAAATAAATATATATATATATATAAAAGGATTCCTAAGAGGGAATTCATAAAAAAAGAACATGCTTTTATTATTACTTCTTGCAATATTAGTTCCCTCAATGCAACAAGAGGTTTCAGCTCCCACACCCTCCTCCACTGCTACCCTGAAACCTTCATAATGCATAGGACACTTCCAATCTCTTAATATAGTAATTATCAACATGATGATTATATAAGTGCTATTTGCGACTGAGACAGTTGATAAATCCTGACTGCTTTTCTTTCCCTCTAATATATATTTTTCCCACATGGAGTCAATAATTATTTTTATCTTAAACTCTACCTGTATGCTTAGTTTTTTTTTTTCCAATCCACTACTTCCACACTGTTCAAACCTTTCTGAAGTATATTATGCTGTTTGTCAATTTTACCCTCTCAAAGTATTTTCTCCTAGTCTCCCAAAACTCTAACCTGTTCTCTATGCCTGCAGCTATTTTCTTATGAGAGCTTTCATTATTTTTCCAGAATCTCCATTATCATCCTAGGGATTCCTTCCCCTTTCTTGTGTTGGTTTTCCCGTTTCATTATCCTTCATTTTCCTCATCTCGTTTTTGTGGAGTACCCTTTCAGTAGCTACCTCAGTCAAAGGTATAGAAAGTAAATACTTGAGACTACATGGCTAAAGATGGCTTGCTTCTACGGTGATAGAACATGGATAACTGACTGAGAATGATTGCATTATTTTTCTTCTTAGACTGTCTCAGGCATTGCCTAATTATCTTTTAGCTTCCAAATGCTGCTGTTAAGAAGTGTGATGTTGAGGACATTCCTGTGAAGCTGTCTGCAGCCTCTGCAGTGCTAGTTTTATCCCCGCTGGCTGCGGAGATACCCACATGGAGCAGCAGACCTCTCCTGTCTCACCCACTGCTCCCCTCAGCAGTGTACTTCAGTCAGTCTGTTCTGCTTCCTGCTCTGTCTCTGGTGAGTCCTCTCACCAGGGAGGCCTCTCACCTCTGGCCTGTACCCCGGTTCTTGTATAAATAAATCTTTAAAAAAAAGGAAAGGAAAAAAATTAAAAAAAAAAAAAAGAAGTGTGATGTTATTGTTTCTTTATCCTTTACATGAATCCTCTTTTCTTCTTAAGAAGCTTGTAGAATCTTCCATTTTCAGGGTTAAATTTTAATGATGTGCCTCGGCGTGGGAGTATTTTCACCTACTACACTAGGCTCTCAAGAAGCCTTTCAACTAAAAACCCATCATTCAGTTCTAAAAAATACTGTTTGATAATTTATTTAATGTTTTACTTCCTTCTATTTTCACTGTTACCGCTTTCTGAAATTCCTAATATTAGGATAGTAGGCCTCCTAAACATGAACACTTACTCTATCTTTTCTGTACAATTTTTATTAGTCGTCGTTTTTTGGAGAGGCTGTTTATTTTCTTTTAGTTCAGTTTCCCACTTCTACTATTTTAATTTCCCAACAACTTTGCGTTTGTTGTTCCTTTTCAAGCAGTATCTTAGTCATGCTTCTGAATGTCTTTTTTTAATTTTTCTCTTTGAAGATGCTTTAATAGTTTTCTGAAATATTCTCCATAAAAATTCTATTTCCACTAACTTGCCTTTTTTGTTTGTTCATGTTCCATAATTCATAATGTCCTGGTCCTCAAATGCCTGGTGATCCTGACATCTGCTCATATACAAGAAGGAAAACAATAAAGCTGACTGGACTTTGGAAATGTTTATGAGGCTTGTTAAATGCGATCTTCACCCTAGTACATTTGTCTAAGTCATTTCCTTGGGAATCTCAAATATTAATACTGGGTTGGTCTGATACTTCAAAGATGAGTGTTCTCATCTCCTGCCTATGTACTGCCATTGTTTTCTGGGATAAGTGGAAGACAGACAGAAACGTATTATAAATAAAAGCTTTTAGCTATTCCTCATTTTCAGTTCAGTGGCATCACATATTGTCTTGCTTTTGCTCTCCAGTCTAAAGATACTTTGTTCAAATCTCTGCGGAGAGTGAACCTGCAATTGCCTTTTGGGGGACAGCTGTACTCTGTTGTCCCTTTTCAGACCCACCTTCATCCTTATTTCCAATCAATTGCTGAGCCTCTGAGGATCTGCCATGCAAAGTAGCATGCTTTCCAGCTTTTCTCAGTTCTGGGTTAGGATTCAGCTTTCTCAGATCCATTAAGTGATTCATCATTTATCAGATGTCCATCTTTTTAAAATCTGGTCGACATTTTTGCCCCTCCTATTCTTTTTGCCCTTCTGGGTTAATGTCTTAAAACAAAAGTCTCTTTACTGTGAGTGATATGTGAGGAATGAAACTATGTTTAACCCTCTGTGTTTCACTGGAATCCACATACACACAGTTTATAAATGCCAGGTTTATTAAAACCTGGAAGCATTATCTACTTTTTCTGCATAAAGTTATAAAATGAAACATGAGTCATGTGTGATAATTTCTTTTTGTAAGAATTCATTTGAAAGTTTCTGAGTTAGAAAAAAACTTATACCTCTGTAATTTTTTTTTAAAAGATTTATTTATTTTTATACAAGAACTGGGGTACAGGTCAGAGGCACAGTAGGGTGAGAGGATTCACCAGAGACAGAGTAGAACAGGCAGGTGGACCGAAGACACTGCTGAGGGGAGCAGCAGGTGAGACAGGAGAGGTCTGCTACACCATGTGGGAATCTCCCTGGCCAGCCAGGAATTGAATCCATGCTGCAGAGGTTGCGGACAGCTTCACAGAGCTATGCTCAACCCGCTGCGTCACCAGGGAGGCCCCTCTGTAATGGTTTTTGAATATTCTCTGGTTGTTTGAAAAATACTTCAGAGTCAACTTAGGGGTTCCTGTCTTTGGGCTGTTATATAGATAGGTAGTTACGGAAAATACAAAAGTAAATGGAATGATGGCACAAAATGTATCATTTAATCTTTTGTACCCAATTGTTCAACCTTGAACTTTTAAAATAAAGAGTAAATTGATTTAAAATGAACTAGAGGCCTTCTTTTTTAATATGCTAGGTAATGTAAGAATTCTACAAGGAAAATGAAGAGATTTATGGAAAATGCTTTGGCTAGTAAAAGTTAACAGTAGGTATAAACTAGACTCCTATATTAACTGTTACTTATTTTGCAAAATAGATTCTGACTGCTTTTGAAATCTGGAGAGTCAGGATCAACAAATTGTAAACTATTCATTATTACCTGGGAAATACAAACAAAAGACCTCACTGAGAAGCAAACAGGTTCATGTTTTAATGATGCACTAAATTTACTCCTCCATTAAATAGAACAGTTAGATAAAAGGGTAAATTTAACATGTATTGAATTTTTTCTTATGCTAGACACTTTAATAATATAGTATTACATTTACTATATACAGTTGAATAGTTATGGAAATTTTAATATTATATTAAAAGTGACTTAACAAGATAAGAGATTGCAGCTAATAATAAATTAGTGGAATAAATATGTTAGACTTAAAAGTTCAGCTGTTTTTTACTACTATTCCATGCTGTCCACATAAAATGGTGATATTACTACATATTTGTAGAAATTTTTGTAAAGGTCACACAAGATAATATGGCAATACACACTCGCAAAAATATTTCCAACCTTTCCTCTTTAAAAAAATTGGGAGATAAGAGGAGAAAAGACAAATATTAGGTAGCAAGAACAGTTGGCAAGTGGCACTTTGATGTTGGATCATTACTGACACCTAGTGGCCTCATTCTTACAGGCAAAATAAAGCCAACAAAAAAAGGAAAGGGAGCTACAACATAAATTCCAGATGAGGAAAAAAACAGACATACAGACCAATGGAGAAGAACTGAGAGACAAGAAATAAACCCACACTTACTTGGATGGTTAACATGCAACAAAGGAATCACGAATACATTTACTAGAGAAAGGAAAGTCTTCAATAAATGGTGTTGGAAAAACCAGTCACATGAAAAATGAAGCTAGACCATTTTCTCACACCATATACAAAAATTAATTCAAGGTGGCTTAAACTTTGATATAAGACCAGAAACCATAGAAAACATAGGTAGAACACTTCACAACATAGAATTTAGTGATGTCTTTGTGGATTCATCTCCCAACAGCAAGAGAAACAAAAGAGAATACAAACGATTGTAACTATATCAAACTAAAAAGCTTCTGCACAAAAAGCTCTGCACAGGGAAAGAAACTATCACAAGAAATTGTCAGGGAAATGCAAATCAAAAGGACTATGAGTACCATATCACATCTATGAGAATGGCCCATATCAAAAAGACCAGAAACACAAGTGTTGGTGAGGATGTGGAGAAAAGGGACTCTTTAGCACTATTGGTGGGAATGTACACTGATCCATATGACCCAGCAATAACCCTACTATCCACCCAAAGAATGCTAAAACACTAATTTGAAGGGATATATGCACTCCTATATTCATTGCAGCGCTATCTATGGTGTCCAACCTAAGGAAACAACTAAATGCCCAAAGACAGATGAATGGATTAGGAAGACGCGATATATGTACACAATAGAATAACACACTGCCATAAAAAAAGTAAATGGTTAATGTTTGCAACAACATGGATGAAACTAGAAGAGATTATGCCAAGCAAAATAAGTCAGAGGAAAGGGATAAATACTGGCTGGTATCATTTAACACAGGGTCAGATAAAAGTAAACCAATAACAAAACTTAGAAATATGACTATAGAACTGAGTCTACCAGAATGGAGGGGGAAAGAGGAAAACAAAGTGGGGAGGGGGCACAAATGACTATGGATGCCTTGGTGGATACCCACCTACCTATATATACATAACAGCCCAAAGACAAGAACCCCTAAGTTGACTCTGAAGTATTTTCTAAACAACCAGAGAATATTCAAAAACCATTACAGGGTTGTGGTATGGTAAACATACACCTGAAAGGTATTATCCTACACCTTTAAATCATAAAGCGTTGTAAATCAACAGTGTTGTTACCTGAAAAGCCAGATGACTGTCAACCTATATTTAGTAAGTAATGTATTTTAGATGACTTTATCATAAGCTTTACTAGTTTTCATCCATACTATATCTGCACTGTGAGCAATGGTAAGCACTTGTAAAATGAGAAATCAGGGCTAAAAATATGATTCTGTTATCTCCTCAGGAATATTCCTCTGGAAGCTATCTGTTTTAAGAAGGAATCAGTCCCGAAACTTTGACCATTTTTTTAGCAGTCTAATAAACCTTTGTTCATATCTCCTGGGTAATAGTAAATAGTTTACACTTTGATGATCTTAACTATCTCTTGGATTTGAAAAACGGTCAAAGCTTACTTTGCAAAAGAGTTAATAGTAAATACATGAGGCTCTATCTTGGACTTAACTTATTAGTCAAAGGTTTTTATAGGTAAATCTAAGTGCAAAAGATGTTCTGAACTTATACCTCTTCATTTTGTTTCTAGAACTCTGAAATTTATCCTAGCATGATGAACAAAAAGGTATCTAGTTCAATTTCTGCTAATTTAACCTTTCATTTTAAGTTCAAAGTTGAAAAATTTGCAGAAAAATATTGGCAGGTTCACAGAAAAATCTTACTAGTCCTTACCATTTCTCAATAGAATATCTCAACTTGTAAAATATTACTAGAATGTTCTTTGCAGTTTAATGGTAAATGGCATCACTTGCTCAGGAGCAAGTGTAAACTATTTACTATTACATAAATACAAAATTACAAAAGAAATGCAATAGTCCTTGCAGTTAACTGAAACACTCTATCAAATGCAAGTTTAGTTCTCTGAACCAAGGAAATATTAAGCCTCCTTGTGTGTGGGCAAGTAGGCTACTCTCAGATCCAGCATGATGGACGTTATTGCTTATGTGGTTTTCAACATGCAGAAGAGAAAAAAGAAAACCTACAAACTTGACATTAAAAGGTTAGTGTAGAAGAAAGTAGAATTTACAGAGTCTCCGTGGTAGCCTCAGGGTTAAGTCTCAGTGGCCTGAGTTCCATCCCTGGCCAGGGAGCTGACCCACATATGGTGCAGCAGACCACTCCTGTCAAGCCCCCAGTTCCCTTTATCAGTGTATTTCAGTAAATCTACCTGCTCTGCTCCCCACTGTCTCTGGTGAATCCTTTCACTCCCAGCACCTCTGCCTACACCCTAGTTCTTCTAAGCAAAATAAAATAAAATAAAATAAAATGAAAAGAAATAAAATAAAATAGAATTTATAGCCACAAGGATATGACTAGAATTTATTTTATAAGGCAGGGAGATTCCTAGTAGGAACAATTCCCAGCTGTCTGGCTTACATATGGAATTTTTTGCCTGAACTCTTCAGGATCCTATAATAAGAAGGACCTCGTTTCATTCGTACCTATTGCTCTGTGTGGGTCATTATGCTGTAAGTCATTCCTGTGGTTTAGTAGAAAATGTAACATTAGGAAAAATGATATATTTAATTTAGTTAAATTTACTATATTTAATAGACTGTACTGACATATGATAGCTATTCTGATGTATAACAAATAGAATTGCAAATATATAAAACATGAACAGAATATCAGTATTTATAACACTAAAAATGAGTGTTAAAAGTTGTATAATCACACAATACTTATAAATGAAGCTATAAATGGCATACAGCATGAATCTTTAACAGATATACTATTCAGACTTATTTTTAGTTATTGAAAGTTGGCTTAAAATTGACCCCAAACTTCATATATGATTCTATTACTAGAGGTGACAGAAATTTGTTGACATAAGTTAAAATATTTTCAAGAGTTGCATATGTGTATTGATTGTAAAGATGAAAACACTTTATTTAAATAAATCTTTCAGAAAAATATAATAGTAATAAATGGAGCCTTAGATACTTACTGTATTGTTTTTTCTGACAGCAGAGATAAATGGAAACAAAAGAAAAAAAGCAATGATGTAACAAAAATTGAAAAATAAAAATGTGAAAGGAAAGGAAATAAAGGCTGAAGATGCATAGCATTTTGTGATGTACCTTGAAGCCAGTCTACTCCTTCTTGCAATCCTTCTCCCTTTATAGCATCACTAGCACTGAAATAAAATTGAAAGAAACATCCATTTCATTACAGAACTATAAGAAAATTTTGTCACATGGAAATTTAATATATTTTGGTAATAATACATTTCTGAGCAAAACTGGTTAACCACTGAAATTGAATATAAGTAGGAAATATCTGAGCACTCAGGAGCAAGACATGAGAAAATGATTCATAATTTGAACAGACATTGGAAAAGTGTATAACTAAATGTTATTAATCAAGAACATTATTCAGGATGACATTAAGAAAATATATACGTTATTTTTCTAGTGGTAGGAAACTAGTGAGCCTGTCCTATTTTTTCCCAGACCTAAAGGGGCTCACATAATAGCATTTATTTACTAAAATTGTTTGGCTTAGGTTGTAATTTAACCATAGGATGCAATGTCTTTATTTTGAAATGGGTTTTGATATCTATGTGGCACAAGTCTGTAATTATAACTTTGGTAAACTGGTAAAATAAAAAAATCCCAGTAGGTTTCAATCAATGTTTTATCTTTATTGGCTGTAGGAAGATGGATAGGTTATTTAATAATTGTCTTCAGTTTTAGCATATATAAAACAGGAGAATATTACTGTTGGCCTGATATGGTTATTGGGAGAATGAAGTATCTGATTTGTAAATATATATAAAACAGGATCCTATCACTGTCCTTCTATTCTTAAGAAAGTAACTTAAACACTTTTTTAGATACTACTTTTTAAATAATCAGAAGTAAGTTTTTAAGTTAAAATAATAAAATAGAGGATTTTTATGTATTAATCTTTTTAAAAGATGCAGATTGATGGGATTCCTCATGTTACTGATCTAATTGTTTCCTTTCAAAAGATAATTGTTTAATAGCCATTGGTATAAAGATTCTGAAGGACTAGGGCAACTTTCAGTGTACTGAGAAATGATTTTAAAATATACTAAATTACCTAAAAGAGTTAATTTGATTCTAATTAAAAGAGAAATTATTTCCAAGGAATTAGAGTACTGAGTAAGAATTTGACTCATAGAATTCTTTTAAAAGGAAGACAGAAACAAACAGTATGAGATGCACAATTATTCAAAATAAATTATGTAATATCCATATCAAGTGCAAAATTCAGTAACTGCAATGCTTTAAATCAAGAAAGATCAATGTACAGATTTTTACCACACACTTATAGTAAAAAACAAGTAATACAAATGAAGAACTCCTTCCCCTTTGGAAATCCTGCATCTTTCTTAATAACTGCCAAATGTCTCAAGGAAAGAGGGATGTGCTTGAGGTAGGCAGAGTTTCAGTCCTGGGTAGAGATGCCAGAGGTCCTGTGTACTGACAAGTATCAAGGACTTTCTCCAGCTCTTATCCACACTATTACTTTAAAAAAAAAAAAAAAGTTACTGTTTTTTATTGAGGTAATGCTGGCATATAACACCATTTGTACTTTGGAGGTATAGTTACAGGTTCACACATTTTCAGATGTTCACATCCACCACCAAGGCACCCACAGTCCTCCATCATACTATATTCTATTTTTTTCAGCACCAAGGAAAGCTCTTCAAGTTCTTTTTTGAGTTCTACTTTTTGCTTCATATTCTTGTGCTGCTTCTTTAACTTCTTTGGAGTTAAATATATTAGTAAGAAATTGCTTTCCAAATAAAGAATATATAAAAACTTCAGACACTACTTAAGACACGTACTTACTAGTATGTTCAAACAATATCAGTATTTCCATTTTCCTCTAAACAAATATTTCTCATGCATCTATTAAACATCAGGTATTTATTATGATTCCAGGGTTTACAGAGTGAACAAAAGACATTACAGGTTAACAGAAAAATAAAGCAAAATAAAGAAAAAATAAGAGACAGTTAAGACATATTTTTATAGAATTATGAGGAAATTCTCTCTCTTCTGAAGGAAGGGAAACAGCAACAGAAATATTACTTTGGAGAATGGTTTAGACAAAGAGAATAACAATTGTAAATGTCTTGGGATGGGATTGTGGTTTGCTGATTCAATGTGCAAAAGGAAACTGGTGTGGTTGAAACTGAATAAGCAAATTGTTTAAGCTACTTTTTAAAGAGTTGCTTATATTTTCCTATTCCCAAACAATTCCAATAAAATTTTAGTAGTTATATATTCATGAATTACTGCAATGCCACAGTTTAATAAAATAAAATCCTTAGCTTACAACCTACCATATTAGGTCACATATAAATTAAGCTCATTAAAAAAAAAGAAAAGCCATGAAGTTTGGATACATTTTTTCAGAATGAGAAAAAATAAATGTAAAACTTTACCAGATATGCCATGGTTTATCTTTGATGTTCTCTAAACACAGCAACTGAGACACTTTTACAGAAGTCACTGCATCTCTAAGATCCATTTTGTTTGCAAAGAATAAGATTGGTATTCGGCGATGCTTAATATCTAAAAGAGAAAATATGATTATTTTCATAATTTGAAGCTATTGGGGTCATTTCCTCCTAAATTCTTAAACTCAAAATCCACAAAAATTGTTTTCTAATCATTTCACCCTATAACACACATAAATAAAAATTTAAAGACAATGTCAGGTATGTATTTGAGTGATGAAGAAGAAAAACAACTTTCTAATACTATCTGCCCTTAGGTAGAAGCTTTTTTTCCTCTTTTTTAAATACTCACTATTATCAATTTTTATTTATTGCTTTTTTCTTTTTTTTTTTGCACAGAACTGGGGTATAGGCCAGAGGTGTGTGTGGGGGGGGTGAGAGGATTCACCAGAGAGTGGGGAGCAAAACAGGTGGATTTACTGAAATACACTGCTGAGGGGAGCAGTGGGTGAGACAGGAGAGGTCTGCTGCGCCATGTGGGTTACCTCCCTGGCTGGGAATCACACTCAGGCTAAAGAGGTGATAGCACTGTGACTTAAACCCTAGGCCATCAGGGAGGCCGTGATTGGAGCTATAAAACAAAGTAAAGGAAAACTGGACCACCGCATGCAAAAAAAAAAAAAAAAAAGAAAAGAAACTAGACCACTACCTTTCACCATGCACAAAAATCAACTCAAAATGGATAAAAGAACTGGACATAAAACCTGAAACCATGAAATATATAGAAGAAAATATAGGTGAAACACTACAAGACATACATTGCAATAACATCTTTAAAAGATTCATCAACCAAAGCAAAGAAAGTCAAGGAAAAGATAAACACCTGAGGGGGGGGGTGGGAGAGGAGGGATTGGGGTCAGAATGGGGGGGTTGCAATTGTATGGGGAATATAAAAATAAAATTTATTATTTAAAAAAAAGAATCAATAAAATGAAAAAGAAAATAATAATTGCAGTTGCCAAAGGGATTGTTTGCATGAAATAAATGAGCTGATTTTACAAAAAAAAAAAAAAAAAAGATAAACACCTGGGATTACATCAAACTGAAAAGCAAACCAAAACAGAGAGACACCCCACGGATTGGGAAAAAATATTTGCACTCCAGTCAAATGATAAGGGACTGATCACAAAGATGTGCAAAGAACTCACAGGACTCAACAAAAACAAAATAAACAATCCAGTCAAGAAATGGGCAGAAGAACTTAAAAGACATTTCTCCAAAGAGGAAATGCAAATGGCCAACAGGCATATGAAAAAATGTTCAACATCACTTGTAATCAGGGAAATGCAAATCAAAACTACATTGAGATACCACCTTACACTAGTAAGAATGGCACATATCAAAAAAACAAGCAATGACAAATGTTGGCGAGAATGTGGTGGGAAAGGAACTTGCCTACATTGCTGGTGGGAGTGCAAACTGGTCCAAACACTATGGAAAACTGTGTGGAGGTTCTTCCGTCTACTAAAAATGGAGCTACATACGACCTGGCAATTCCACTACTAGGGATTTACCCAAAGGACACAAAAACAGTGATTCAAAAGAACACCTGTTCACTTATGTTTATGGCAGCACTATTTACAATAGGTAAAACCTGGAAACAATCCAAATGCCCAAAAATAGATGACTGGATCAAGATGATGTGGCATATATATACACAATGGAATATTATTCAGCCATCAAAAAAGATAAACTCATGCCATTCGCAGCAACGTGGATGGAACTAGAAGGAATTATGCTCAGTGAAATAAGTCAGAAGGAAAAAGAAAAATACCGGATGGTTTCACTTATAGCAAGAATATAGGGGAACCGAATAAGACATCAGTGTAAAAAAATAACAACAGTGTAAAACACAACAAAGCAAAAATGGACAAGTATAAATCAGAGACATACTGCAGGGGACGAGGAGGGAGAGGGATCAGAGGGAGGAAGGGAGCAGCAGAGGGGACTGAGGTGATGGTGCCCAGGTGCATTGGTGAAGGAAACTTTATGGGGACTACACCTGAAGGGGTGGGGGGAAGCAAATATTGTCTAAAAATGAAAAATGATGTAAAAAATAAAAATATACATATATAAAAAAGTAAATTAAAAAAATACCTAAAAAATAAAAATAAAACAAAGTAAGATGGAAACAGATGTGTGTGTTTGGGGCTCATTAAGCAGTTACTAAAATAGTATTTGCAAAAGGGTCAAAAAGTTTGCATCTTTTGTGTTTATTGTCACCAGAAAGGAGGTAAACTTCAAACAAAATAGAAGGTAGATATGCAGACTATCCTCCTCCACACACTACCAAACTACCACATAAAAATCACAATCCCTGAGAGATAAATGGGACAACCACTGTATACTTGGAGTAGCGGTGCAGTAGAAAGGGTCAAGAAAAACTATTTCAACTGTGCTTGCAGTGATACCTGGGCAGTGCAATACACAAGAGAGGGCTGGCTGCTATTAACTCAGGGGCAGATGCCCACATTGCAGTGACTTTGGAGCACTATGCTATAAAAGGGGGGTGTAGAGTTGGTATGCAAGGCAGAGGGTGTACTACTGGAGAGTTACAGTAGTAAGGGTGCAGTGATGATAACTCTCACTCCACCCCCAACCCTGATTACTGTCTTAAGCCTGATGTTCTAATATAGAACATTTGGAGCCCAAACTCCTAAATCCCCAGGGATAATCAGACCTTGCGTCTCCTCATAGAAGATGCGACTACTAGAAGCCTGAGCTTGTGAGTGATAGTTGAAATTATCCTTACCTAGGGGAAAAACTACAGGAAAAACTGAAGGCTCTCATTAGTAGAGCTTAAGCACCTGAATCTTAATAACAGGAGCAAGTGCCCCAGGGAAAGGCCACATACTTAAAAATCAAAGAGAACAATTCCTTGTTGGCAGACCAGTCTCAACTATTATCCTTACCAGGTACTGTATCTAGTACTCAGTCATAGCGTAGTGGTTGAGAGCGGCAGGAAACTGATATGACAGATGTTTTGGTATAGGGCCTGGCCTACAGAAAGGGATCATGGTGGATCCCTAACACACAACGTGGGTGCTGGCAGCACTAGACCTTTGGAAATGATCTTTCAGAGCCCTACTACCCTTGTTTTTTCTACCTATTACTCTTTACTGGTACCAGTGTCTTATTTGATTGAATAGGTGCAGAGGCAGGGGTCTGAAATCTTTAGACATCTAAAGATCCTAGGTGAAAAACCTAGGATTATTTCTAGCTTTTTGTGGTAGGGGTATACTGTCTATTAAGAAAAGGAAACCCCCTATTACAACACATAAAACCTATGTATGAAGAGACAGAAGAATTCTGGAGAAAAAAACCCTGAGAGAAGTCTCACTTCAGCAGAACTGTAGAATGTGCCTGAAGATTTTAAGTAACTGTTATAACCATGCTCACGGAATTAAAAAAAAAAAAAAAAAGCAAAACAGGAACACAGTAAAGATTGGGAAAACACGAGACTACTACAACTAGAACTAATGAATCTAAAAAATATTATAACTGAGGGCCTCCCCGGTGGCACAGCGGTTGAGCGCTGGGTTGCGAAGCTGCCCGCAACCTCTGCGGCACCGGTTCGATCCCCAGCTGCTCCCCGGCCACCGGAGGAGGGTCCCACATGGCGCGCAGACCTCTCCTGCCGCCCGCTGCTCCCCCCAGCAGTGTACTTCAGTCCTTCTGCCTGCTCTGCTCCCCGCTCTGGCTCTGGTGAATTCTCTCACCCTCCCGCGCTTCTGACTATACCCAGTGCATGTATAAACAAAACAAACAAAACAAAACAAATAAATAAATCATAAATAAAAAAAAATACATGCCTCTTTAAAAAAAAATTTTTTTTAAAATACTATAACTGAATTCAAAAATACAATAGAGGGCCTCGACCGTAGACAAATGCAAGTAATGGAAAATTAGTGAGCTTGAAGGCACAGTGGTGGAGAATACCCAAATAGAACAACAAAGAAGAAAAAAAAGCAAGAAAACAGGAGACTAGAAAAACCTTGGTATAATACCTTGTATAACAGACTACTACATAGCAATAAAAAAAGAATAAACAAATTACCACAACTTGGGTAATTGCCAAAAAATTATGCTAAAAAAATCAAGACCAAAAAAGTGTATACTTTCCTCCTTTTTAAAATTTTTTTAATTTATTTACATAAGCACTGGGTACAGTCAGAAGCGCGGGAGGGTGAGAGAATTCACCAGAGCCAGAGGGGAGAGCAGAGCAGGCAGACTGACGAAGTACACTGCTGAGGGGAGCACTGGGCAGCAGGAGAGGTCTTCGCGCCATGTGGTGGGACCCTTGCCGGTGGCCAGGGATCGAACCGGTGCTGCAGAGGTTGCAGGCAGCTTTGCAACCCACCGCTCAACCACTGCGCCACCGGAGAGGCCCACTTTCCCCCCCTTTTTTTTTTTACAAAAATTGTAAAACAGGCAAAATTAATCTGACGCCAGGTGTAGGGTGTTAACGGGAAGGGGTATGAGAGAACTTTCATGATGGGGTATGCCATTACCTGAGTGTAATCGCTTATCAAAACCAATGAACTACATACTTCAGATCTGAGCATATACTTTGGGGAAAATAAAGGCCAGAGACCTGGAAAATATTGCAAAACACTTTGAAACTTAAAAACTATATGGTGCTGTAGGTAAAAATGTAATGAATGCGGCAAAATTATTGTTTTAAAAATTAAGTTTTATATACAAGATAATTACAGTGTAGTCATTGTTTTTGATGACACCAAAGAACAAAACATCATATATAAACATAATCTATAAACATAATCTAAAGTACAGATATCCCAGACAAAAAGACACAAACACACACATACACACACGCGCACTCACACACACACACAGACAGGCAGACACATACACACACATACCTGGATGATTCAGAAGAGTATCAAGTTCTTCTTTGGCCACCACCATTCTTAATCTATCACTACTATCAATGACAAAAATAATGGCTTGTCCTTCTCTATATAATACAAAGAATGAAAAAAATTAAAACTAAACGTATTTCCATGTTTACTATATTTGCATTACGCAACCTACGTATTATCTCTTCATGTCCAATATCCATTTATTGTTATAGTCTTTGATACTATTTCTTATTAGTTTATACAAATGATTACCATCTTAACGATTAGTCATATTTCATGTAAAATAATCTCTTTTCATCTGGGTAATAATATGGTAAGTTTAATGATTTTAAAGTTATTTCATAATTTAGAAAGATTACAAGGAAAATCATAATCCCATTACATAGGTACGATCACTATTAATATCTTGGTATAAATCAATTTTGACACTTTGTGTCTCTTCACATTTTAATATCTACATCAGAATTTAAACAGCCTCCTGCTGTTTTAGACCCTGCCTTTCTTACATATGTGTACATTTCTTTGATTTTTTTTGCAGTATAATGTGAACTATTTTTATATGAAACATTAAAGCTGTATACCAGTGTTTCTCAACTATTTTCTACCATGACCATAGTGAGAAACAGTATGTGCACTGAGTGTAACAGGCACATAAGTATATGACAAAATATTTGTAGTAAGTTTCCTGAATCAAACTTGCAAGTGGCTTTTATTTTATTTATTTTTTTTAAAGATTATTTATTTATACAAGCACTGGGTACAGTCAGAAGCGCGGGAGGGTGAGAGAATTCACCAGAGCCAGAGCGGGGAGCAGAGCAGGCAGAGGGACCGAAGTACACTGCTGAGGGGAGCAGTGGGCGGCAGGAGAGGTCTGCGCGCCATGTGGGACTCTCCTCCGGTGGCCCGGGAGCAGCCAGGGATCGAACTGGCACTGCAGAGGCTGCGGGCAGCTTCGCAACCCAGCGCTCAACCACTGCGCCACCGGGGAGGCCCACAAGTAGCTTTTATTTTATTCTATTTGATTTTTTAAAGCTAATGACCAGTCACAGAACTGGTTTAAAGATTCACTTATATATCATTTCAAAAAAACACTGACTGTCTCTGTACTTTTCTTTTAATGGTTATAAAGCATTCCATTACATGGATGTGCCATCAACTGTGTCTAACCTCTATTGCTGGGTCTTTAAAATTTCCAATTTCAATTAGTATGGAAACTTTTGGGATAAACTCCCTACTAATTACATTTTTTAATTTTCTTGATGCTTCAAGGTTTTTCTCTTAGGAGAAATCTTTCTAGGAAGACATATATAATTTAAAGCTTTAGGTAAACCTTGACAAAGTGTTCTCCAGAAATGCTTTATCAAGTTTTACCTTCATTACTAGCATTTTTTCTATCCCTTGAAGGCACAGTTATATATTTTTTTCAATTTTTATCACTCAAACAGTATATTATTTCAGTTTGTTTTTAATTATTACTAGTAAAATTCAATGTTTTCATATATTTATTATACTTTTTGTGAATCATTTCTTATAGTCATAACTTGATATTTTAAAATTTAATATTAGAATTAAATAAATATAGAAATGAAAGTTTCCAATGTTTCTTTCTCCTATCAGTAAAAAAATGGATGCAGATTATCATGAAAACTTTAAAATGTCCAATCATGTTGGAGAGAGTATTTTATTTATGGAATTGATTCTAAGGAACCATGAACAATGAACAGCGAGATGTTAATTGTTCATAATCTTCAAAAACTGAGAAGAGCATAAATGTCCAAAAATAGAGAAATGATAAAGCAAATTTTGGTATAGGCATTATGAAAAAATATTAGGCAGAGTTACATTTTTTGTATATATATGCTGATTTACCTTTAACTGAAAGGCAGGGTAGAAAACTGTACATTATATATAATTTAGAAGGCTCCTTTCCAAATTATATGACATTTATTTATGTATTTCTAAAGAGAAATACACCAAAAAGATTAACAATGATAAATTTTTTAGTGGGATTTATGGGAGACATTTTTTATATTCTTTTCTATATTTTCCAAACATTAAAATATACACTTCTTATATTTTTGCACTTTGCTGTATTTTATGAGTATTTTGCAAAATCTATACAAAAGATAATTAATATTACAGAACCATTAAGTGCCAAAGCAAATTTGACTTATAATCTTACAATTCCAAAAATAAATGCTATGAATGGTTTGATGAATATTGAACTCACCATTTTCTTCTTTACATATATATACTAAGTACATATTTATATTAAGAGTACATTTTTATTTATATAAAGAAGATACATAAAAATGTCATCATATACCATGCTGAACATATTCTTTTATGTGTATTTTTGCCCACTAGTCCTAGTCAGAGGATAGGTTTTAAAATGTAAAAATGTTGGTTGGCTGGAGGGCATGAGCATTTTTCATTTTAACAGATATTGATAAATTACCCTGAAAAATGTTATAATCCCATTCTAAGAGTGGTTCATTTTGCCAATAGTAGAATTAATTAATCTTTTTAACCTCTTTCAGTCTAATAGATTAAAATGCACTTGTTCTTTCATATTCATAAAATTATAAAGAATACCAGAAATAAATGTACTATTACTGCAGACTTCTCAATATTCACCATTCTATGTACAACTTATCTAAAATATTCCTGAATTCATTAACTTCTTCCAGAGATTGTGGGGGGGAAAAAAAAGGGACTTAAAAATCAAAGCAAATTTTTTTTTTGAAGTAATATTTTCTATATATTCTTATTCCTTTTAAAGCCATTAAATGTTATTTTTAAAAAAGTAACTAAGGCCTCCCTGGTGGCAGAGGGGTTAAAGCCAGTGCTATCAAGCTATTACTAGTCACTACTACATGAATTTGATCCCCAGCTAGGGAGCTAACCCACATGGTGCAGCAAACCTCTCCTGACTCACCCACTGCTCCCCTCAGCAGGTATTTCAGTATATCTGCCTGTTCTGTTCCCCACTCTGTCTCTGGCAAATCCTCTCACCCCCCGCACCTCTGGCCTACACCCCAGTTTTTGTATGCACAAATAAATAAATCCTTAAAAAAAAGGTAACCATACACATATATAAAGTAACTATATATAAATTCTTAAAAAAGTAACTACATATATATATACTACATATATATTATACTTTATATATTATTATATATATTATTTTTTATATTATTATATATATTACTACTATATATAACTTTTTTTAAGGATTTATATATATATATAAATAAAAACAGGAATTGTTTACCAACTAATGGAAAAGGAGTTAAAAAAATATTGCATTGAAAATTCAGGTTTCATTAAAAAAAAGAGGTAAAAGCTTCTCATTTCCCTAGAGAATTTAATGCATGATACCACAAACACTGACCCTCAAATTTTTGACACTCTTCTCTTTCTCTCAGATTTCCTCTTGTTATATATGTTTTAAATAGGCCTTATATCTATTACAGTATTCATTGAAAAGAACATCTGGAATAAATCTTCTCTGGTTCATCTGGAAATACATTTTCCCCCATATGACAGGAAAGAATTATCAATTAAAATTAAAGCCTGATTTGGTAGTCCCCACACATCATTTCAAGATCAGGTCATAATGACAAAAATATATTTAATCAATGAATACTGTTCCAAGGTTCAGACTCCAAAAGTGAATTACACTGCTTAAATAAAGGAGTCTTGGCAATAGTGGATGTTAATTAGTAACTTTAACATCAAATGTAAATCTTGAGAGAGTTTAACACATCTGAATCCTAGTAACTGGACAAATATTAATTTGAAGTGATTATCAAGAATCTGACCTACATGTGCTGAAAAACTGTCTCTTTTATTTTTTAAGATTTATTTATTTTTGCATAGAAGAACTGTGGTATAAGCCAGAGGTATGGGGGATGAGATGATTCACCACAGACAGAATGGGGAGCAGAACAGGAAGATTTACTGAAATATACTGCTGTGGGGAGCAGAGGGCAAGACAGGAGAGGTCTGCTGTGGCTATATGTGGGTTAGCTCCCTGGCTGGGGATCGAGCTCAGGTTGTCAAGGTGATAGTGCTGAGACTTAACCCCTAAGCCATCAGGAAGGCCCTGAGAAGTATCTTGGTTAGAATTACTTGTGAAATAAATGGTAAACTGATATAGACAGTTGTACTGCTAGTTTAACTAAATTTATTCAGATAAGTATTTACTTATCTGTATGTCCAGCATCATACTAGGCCTTGAAAAAAATAATTTGAGTAAGAAATAATCCCTGAGCTTGAGGAGTTCATATTCTCATCAGGGAAGCAACCATGGTATATGATTTTAAGATGTAATGAATATGATTACAAAGCTATGAATGAACAAATTACTGTGTGAACACTGAGGGCAAAATAACTGGTCAAAATGGTGAAACTTCACAGAAGAGGGGACTTGTAAGCTAATTTTTAAGGCATGAATACATTAACCAGAGAGGTTGGGTAAAACAGGGTATTAAAAACAAAATTTGAAGGACCTGAGCATTTGAGAAATAAAGTGAATATGACTGTACCTTTATTTTTTTAAATTAGGACATGTACTTACATATATGAAAAATTTACACTGCAAACTGCTTATGTAATATTTTGGATTTTTAATCTTTTTTTTTTTAAAGATTTATTTATTTATTTTATACCAGCAATGAGTACAGTCAGAAGCACAGGAGAGTGAGAGAATTCACCAGAGCCAGAGCGGGGAACAGAACAGGCAGACTGACGAAATACACTGCTGAGGGGAGCAGCGGCACAGTGCTGTGCATGAGAGGTCTGTGCGCCATGTGGGACCCTCACTGGCGACCAGGGATTGAACGGGCGCTGCAGAGGCTGAGCTTCGCAGCCCAGCGCTCAACTGCTGCACCACCAGGTGAGGCCCTCTAATCATATTTTGTTATCAAAATAGAACCATCAGTTAATGTTAACTATCAGTTAACATTCACAAACATACTTACTTATAGTAGTGTTCCCAGAGATTTCTGTATCTTCCTTGACCTGACATATCAAACACTGTAAAAGACAAACTACAAAAAAACAAAAAAGATGACATTGTAAGTTACTAACTTAAAGTGTAACTTATACAAAAAATTTTAGATTGTTTTCAATCAAAGAAAACACCCTTGAATATATATAATATTCAACTTTGGCTAATTTTTATTTTCAAGTGCCATAAAATAAATTTATTGAACACAGCATTTTGCATAACTGATATATAAAAATATGTTTTTTTTTTTTTGCTAGTGAGGTTATAAGAATTTTCTTAAGTCTAAATTGTGAAAAACAGTCCTGAGTTAGTGGTACAAATATTTTTAATGCCTATAGGTTCATAAAACAACAGATTACTTTTTCTAAGAGTGGGAGGAATAATTAGGTAGATCAAATATTATCATCTTCACTCCAAATCTTTGTCACAAGTATAATAAAGATTACCTGGATGATTTGAATTTCTCTATGCTGAATCCTATTGTTGGAACTATATCTTGAGATTGAGCCTTTAAGGAAAAAGACAAAGCTTAGAAATTTGCAATTAACAAAAATGAATTTTTCCATTCTTTTTTTTTTCTTTTTTTAAGATTTATTTATTTATTTATTTATTTATTCACACAAGCACTGGGTACAGTCGGAAGCGCGGGAGGGTGAGAGAATTCACCAGAGCCAGAGTGGGGAGCAGAGCAGGCAGAAGGACTGAAGTACACTGCTGAGGGGAGCAGCGGGCGGCAGGAGAGGTCTGCGCGCCATGTGGGTCCCTCCTCCGGTGGCCGGGGAGCGGGAATTGAACCGGCGCTGCAGAGGCTGCAGGCAGCTTAGCAACCCAGCGCTCAACCGCTGCGCCACCGGGGAGGTCCTGAATTTTTCCATTCTTAAAAATAAAAGCATTCAGATTTTTCCAATTCTAAAGCCTGCCACTAAAGAGACAAAGGATTAAACAAAATTATAATTTCTGCAATGGAATTAAAACGTATAAATTCTTTTTTTTAAAGATTTATTTATTTATGCATACAAAAGCTGGGGGGCAGCCCAGAGGAGCAGGTGGGTGAGAGGATCCACCAGAGACATAGTGGGGAGCAGAACAGGCAGATCTACTGAAATAAACACTCAGAGGAGCAGAGGGCAAGACAGGAGAGGTCTGCTGGCCAGGGATTGAACTTGTGCTGCAGTGGCTGTGGATAGATTCATAGTGCTGGGACTTAATCTCTTGTGCAAGTTTAAAGTTCACTAATAGGGCCTCCCAGGTGGCGCAGTGGTTGAGCGCTGGGTTGCAAAGCTGCCTGCAGCCTCTGCAGCGCTGGTTCGATCCCCGGCTGCTCCCCGGCCTCCAGGGGAGGGTCCCACATGGCATGCAGGCCTCTCCTGCCACCCACTGCTCCCCTCAGCAGTGTACTTCGTCAGTCTGCCTGCTCTGCATCCCGCTCTGGCTCTGGTGAATTCTCTCACCCTCCCGTGCTTCCGACTGTACCCAGTGCTTGTATAAATAAATAAATAAATCTAATTAAAAAAAAAAAAGTTCACTAATTATGAATCTGCATAATGTATGTGTCGTGGTTCACATTTTATTTGCTAAGTTACCCTGAGTTCACATGTAGGATGTTCTAATCTTTCAACACATAATTACTGAGTTATATTTGCTATAAACTGTCTTCATGTCTAGATGGCGAATGACAAATATACATGGTCCTTGCTCTCATGGAGTTTATAAGCTAGAGGAGGTTAACAGCAATGAACAACTAAGGAACAAATGAACAGAACTTCAGGCAGTGATAAGTACGCTGAGAGGTAACTGGGGGGTGGAGACAGCAGGGCAGGGGAGGGGTGGCTTGGGGCACCAGAGAAGAGTGCTCATAAAAGGCGTCTCACAGGTGCTATCTGACCAGGAGTGAAAATCACAAAGGGGAAAGGTCATGACAAGATCTTAATAATGAACATTCCAGTTAGAGGGATCAGTGCAGTGACTCCATGGAGGAAGGAACTTTCCTCTCATGGAAAGTACAAGAACTGCATGTCTAACGTATAGTGAGTAAGGGTAAGAACTCTATCTAAGGAAGTAAGAGAGGCAGGTCTTGAAGGGCATGGTAGGGAATTCTGTGTGAAGAGGTTGCAAGGGGGCAGGAGAACATTAGGAGTCCTGCTGACAAGTCCCAAAGGCAAGTAAAATGCTTTATATTGGAACTTAATTCATAAGGTGACTTCTAACATTTCATCATAAAAACTGTTTCACCTTTTGAATAAAAATCTACTTTCTAGTCCAGATGTCCAAGAGTTATTATCGACTCTTACCTTTCTACATTCTATATACAACCATTTTTTAAGTGTTATTGTTTCTATCTCAGTCTAAACCCTTATCATTTCTTGCTTTGAATTGCTGTAAGTCTCCTAATTACTCCTAATTTCTAATATGCTGCCTCATGTAAGTTACTTAGCTTCTCTAAACCTTAGTTTTCTCAAATGTGCAATATAGTATTACTAATCTTAATTCAGAAAGTTATGAGAATTAAATGAGTTAACAGATACCAAATACTCCACAGTGTATGGCCCAGAGTAAATAATCAACAGATGTTTGCTATTAAATAAGTATACTCTTACTGATTTCAGCCATAAAGCTATTTTCTCCATACTGCTTCAAGTGTAACTTGATAAAAAATTTCCCTCTTCAGAAGAGTTCATCTTGTTGCTTTTATATGAAAACAGGAGTTGTAGAGGGAAAATTGTTTCCTCACATCATTAACTTCACTCAGGTGGTCTGCTTTTAGAAAAAATTTTTTTAAAGATTTATTTATTTATACAAGAACTGGGATACAGGCCAGATGTGCAGGAGGGTGAGAGGATTCACCAGAGACAGAGCAGGGAACAGAACAGGCAGACTGACGAAACACAATGCTGAGGGGAGCAGCAGGTGAGACAGGAGAGGTCTGCCGCGCCATGTGGGACCCTTGCCGGCTGGCCGGGATCGAAGCTGTGCTGCAGAGGCTGCAGACAGCTTCACAGTGCAGTGCTCAACTGCCTGCACCACTAGGGGAGTCCCTGCTTCTAGAAATTTTAAGTTCAAATGGAAAACAGACTGAGAAGTCACTGGATCTTGGTCACCTTAAGAGTAATGTGCTATTACAGGAGTACTCTCGCCCCCAGAGCATCCCTGGTTTTGCCCTTCTGAAGTTTGTTTATTCAATTTGTTCTTACATTCTGTGAGCTACCTAGTATTCTTATAATTTTTTTGGTTTATATTACCATTTATTTCCTGGCACTGAGATTCCTGCTTCAAACCTAAGGTTCCCTTCACTGAACAATGAACTTTATAATGAGAGTTTCCTTATTTTTGCTGTCCCCTAATATCCCAATATTTTGATTTTGAGGGTTTTCATGTAGAAATCACATGATAAAATAATCTGTTATTATTATTAGGAAAAACATACCAATAAAAAAGCGAGGAAGTTTAAAGAAATTTCAAAAAACGTCTTTAAGATAGTAGCCTTGTCTTCACTGAATTGTAATTAGAACATTTGCCCAGACTCTCCACAATCACATAATCACTGCGCTTCTCTATAACTCTGTTGCCAGAGAAGATCCCTTTTAACTTGCTATTTTACTTAAAGTGAAACAGTTAAACAACTTTCTTTTCTTCCCCCACATCCCTAAAGTTTTAATGGAAGATAATTAGACAAAAAACCTTTACAAATTAATCAGACAGAACAAGAATTCCTCTGATTCAAGAGGGATTTTCCTCAAAAGAATTCCACAAATAGTTTCAAACATTAAACTCCCTCTGCTCTATCCAGGAACAAGTACATATGATCATTCTCTAAATTGGACAGAACGGTAGAGAGCAAGTATAGAGTATAGAAAATATTATGGGAATATTACCTAAGTGAGTTGGACCATTTGAGAGAGTCCAGGGATAAACATCAATAGGAATGGAGCAAGATTTTTGATACCCTATTTGGTGAGTTTTACTAGGTCAGCTGAATGGGATATCCTTGGTGCATCTGTCACCATTCCTCATCCATAAAAAAAAAAAAATCATCCATCAATTGTTTGCCATAAAATATATTTAAATACCAATATTCTAGGTGTTTGGGATTCAGTTCTGAATAATACAAGATCTGTGCTCTTACAGAACTTAAATTCATAATGAGTAAATTTAATAAACAAATTAGCAACTGAATATGCAAGGTAAGAATATAAAACTGGATGATGTGCCAGAATGACAGCATGTATTCCGTGGAATGGGGCGGGGGTGATGTGGGGGGAGACTGGGAAATTTAAAAGAAAGGTGTTTAAAGAGTATATCACTAAGAAATGACAGTTAAGACCAGATTCTTGAAAAGAGTGATCAGGTTACAACATCCCCTCATGTCTCCTCATTCATTAATTTAGAAGGAAAGACAAATACTGGATGATTTTACTCCTTTGTGGAATAAGTAAAACAAAACAAAGGAACAGACAAAACTAAACCAAACAAACTCTGGATATCTGACTGTAAAATTGAGGCGGCCAGAGGGAGGAAGTAGGAGAAAAAGGTGGGGAGCAATGGACTATGGTATACGATTTAGGGTGTTTTGGTGGCAGGTATGGTAACATACATCTGAAAAGGTGTGAATCTGACCTATGAGTCCAACAGTGTTGTAAACCAACATTAGGCTCAATAGAATAATAATATATATATATATATATATATATATATATATATATACTCTCACACACACATATAGATATACACGATAGAAACCCACAGAGAAGCACCAGTTTTAAGTCAATAGTTTGACTACAAAGTGAGACTACTATTAAACAAGACCTGCAACATTTTCAGCAAGGCATTTGCTGAAAGAGCCCTATAAATTTCTATAATTTGCTTAATTTATTAATAATGTTTCTAATGGTGGAGCCATATGCCATCACATGCATTCTTATTTGCTTTTACCCATGCAGTGAAACCAGAAAAGGAGAATATTTCCTTGAGAAGGAGATCTTGGGAATTTTGGGAGGCAAATTTCAATTTAAGAGCGTCAGAAAATCCTGTGGCCAGATTAAGCCATACCTTCCAATATCAACTTTTTCAATAATGCCGTTATTTTCCATCTGCCGAACTTCAGCAGGCACATCTCAGCTGATCCCAGCTCAGTCAAGGACCCCTTCTAAAACACCTAAATTACTTTCCAAATTCATTTTCATTTTCTTATCCTGACTGCCTCAAAGTCTCCCCTAAAAATACAGTAGCAGATAGTTGTTTTTACATAGCAAACACATCCATGTAGAAAAGCAATAATGGTATTTTTGTAATTCCAAACCAAGCTCCAGGTGAACAGAAATGAAACTGAAGCTGTTGCAAAAGAAAGTGGAGCAGTAAGATTTCTCATTTCACCCAATCTGAAGTATGTTTACAGATAATTAAGCTTAATTAGCTTACTTAGCAGCGTATTTCTCACTCTCTAGTCATTCGATTTTTAAGAGTAACAGATTCCTAGTTTTTACCTCATCTATATGTGCCTGTTATTTTTCTTACTCAACATTTTTATTTGACTAATTTTTTTTACCTAAATACATGTACTTACGAACTATATTAGTTATATAACTAATATCCATTCTCCCTTTCTTTCACACTCATAGAACCCTATTACTTTTGGTAGCAGCAATATGCTCTGCTTTAAAAAAAAAAATGTAGCTTCATATTCAGATAAGGATAGTCAGTGAGATGTAAGTCAGCTATTGGGGGTCTTCTGAGTAAGTTCTTTAAGGAGGACTTATTTAGCTAGAAGACCTACTCCATTAATATGATGTTATTTTCCCCTAATAGTATGTTTTTTTTCCCATAGTTAATCAAGGTGACCATGTGGGTATTTTCAGGATGAAAACCAGGCACTAAGGATAGGTACAAAGGAAAAAAAAGAAGATGCCTGAGTCTTTAGTCCACTGCTACATAGGATTTTTTTATTTGTAGCAGAATCTAACTTTAATTATATATCATATATTAAAAAGTCAGCTTTAATATATTTTTCAGTTATTAAATACTGTGTTCATATATTTATCACTTAAGTGATAAAGTCATCTCTCTTGCTTAATTCTATTGATAAACATACCACATTCTTGGGGAAAACTAATTATCCAAAGGCATTATAAAAATGATTCACCTTTCCCTTTGTTTCACTCCTTCCATAAAAAGAAGGCAATGTTATGTGAAAGGAAATTTGACTAATTTGTGAAAATCTTTGGAGGGAAAAGAAGACACTTGAAAAAGAATAATCAAGATTTATCTATATACTTGCATGAAATACACTGCTAAGTAGGCCTGACTCATGCTACTTTAAGGTACTAGAAAGTTAACAAAATTTTATAACAAAAGTATATTAAGTTATAATGGCAAATAAAATAATTTTTATAACATTTTCTAGCAGAAAATACATAAAGAATCCAACAAAAATACTTACATTTGAAGGTTTAAGTTTGTTGATGATTGTTGTTTTGCCACTATTATCCAACCCAAGGCACAAAACATGAACCTCCTTTTTCTTCAGACCTAGCAAGCCTGAAAGTCTGTCTAGCAATCCCATGATGTGACTCAAATATTTGCAAACTAGCTGCAAGTCAGGAAAAAAAGATATTATTCACAGGCACCTAAATGAGCAAGTGTATCAAAAAATTAAATAATCAAGACATACAGAGATATTATAAAAACCATGCCAATGTTGCATTGCATTTAGTAAACAGACTATAAGCTGATTACTAGAAAGGAACCTTAGCTGAAATGTAGATTAGCAGTTTATAATCCCGGGCAATGCAGAATGATGTCCTTGAAATAGATGTGCCTTTCTCATTGCAATTTAAAATACTTAAGAAGAAAACATGGTTAAACTTAGTATTACGTTGAGTCTGACATTTGTGTTACTTGAAAATATACATGAACTGCGGCTTCTTTCAGAAATCTCTAACTAAATCTGGGGAACGCAGTTCACAGAGGCTGAACTTAGAAAGCCTAATATAGAAAGTAGAAGACAGACTAGAAAAACAGAAAAAACAAAACAAAACAGGATTTTGTCTTCAGCCTTTAAGTCTTCGGCTAAATTTTTTTCTGAAATCATTGTAATATTTTACAATAACATTTGCTTGATTACACCCAATTTAGGTTGAGTTTTCTATGAGTACAAACAAAAGAATTCTGACATATTTATCCCTATTTTCTTATGGTTCTTACATAAATCTTTGGAAGTTACCATAAATCTATTTGGGAATAAGGGTATATATAAAATACAGATGCATAATTTTATTAAACCTTACTAAATATGTTTTCTTAAAACTGTAAATTATCTGAAACATTCTGTTAAGTATTACCTTTACAGGAACTTTAGAACATTATGATTTTAGATTTTCGCTTAGTTTTCTCAAATTATGTAAAAGTTTCTTTGTTAATTTTCCCTGGGAGTGTTTGTTTGTTTATCAATTTTTTTTTTGAAAAAAAAAAAAAAAATCCTTCCAATGAAAACTTGAAAAAGAAAACCTCCATCAGCAATCCAAAGTCAGAAATATTTCGAAGTCAAATAAAATTCCTGCTGACACATCACTTGCTATTTGGTAGTTTTACAGTTATTCATATCCTTGCAAGGTACTTTTAAATTTAGACTTTAGTTCTGCAAGTGAAACTTTCCAAGGGAGTTTCCTTTGGGTTCATCAATTCCCCACATTGTTACTACATGGCAAAAGAAGAGCGATCACCACCCCCTTGCCAGGACAGTACCAGCTGCTGCAAGGACAGTACCAGCAGTAACACAGTATATGTGTATTCCAAATATTTCCCAAGTTACTCTCCTATGATTTTCAGTTCTTTAAATACTAATCTGATATATCCTTATTTCCATCTAAGTTTCCAGAAGTCGATTATACATCTCCTTCAGTATTTTTTATTTCATGCCACCCAATACAACGTGTATCTTGAAGGATGTAAGGCCGTAGTAAGTGAAATGATAAGAGGCTTCCAAGGCAACTGCATATGAAAGGAGGCTGCATCGCTGAGTTTGTTCAGATTGCTTGCAGGATCACTATGGATACAACTCTCAAAACTGAATTCCAATGAATTCCACCCCCAAAGCATGTGGGATATAACAGAGCCACAGTTAACCTACCCAAGGAATGGGATTCATCTCAGGTTCTATATTTTGCTACTTGACTCAACTTTTCTTCTTGTGTTCAAGACTAAAATATCACTCCATTTATTCCTTTAAATCACATCTTAAGGTTACGCATTTGTAGAATAAAACCGAGCTTTCTGATAACATGAACTGATTTTCAGAGACCATTTAAATTCAAAGTAAATTTGTTACTATTTGTTATTGTACTAAATAAATGACATAAAGGCTTATATCTTATTTTTTTTATTCTATACAGTTTTAACAGATTTTTAAAAAGATGTCAACGTGGCACATTTTCCCCCTATGTGCATATATTACAAAGTATCAATTTTCAGATGTATCTGATACTTCAATATTCATTTATCACAGCACCTTGTCTAGTGACTTTCTGACTCTTATCCATAGCTTGTCAAATACCTAATGTTTATTTAAATATTTTGGGCTATACAATTTAAAAGAGAAGTCAGTTGCTATAAAAGGTGTAACTACATTTATTGAAGTTGCTTTATAAACAACTACCATATAACCGATGAATTTTCTATTTCTTAGTAATTATAAGTTTCCGCAAGTTTACTTTTTGCATACATGAATGAACAAAATAAAAGATAATAGCTTATGCCACTTAACATTTATTTACCATGTTCTAAGTGCACAGTGTGAGATCCAATTAAAATTTTCTGTAGCTTCCTACAGTAATAGTCATGATTCTCAGTCCAGGCTGCACACTAGAATCAACTGTTGAATTATTATTCTTGAAGATGGACACAAGTGTGTATTTTAAAAAGCTGCAGTGTTTCTGATACACAGTCACTAGTGAGAACTACTGGCTTTCAGAAATAATGTCCAAACTTGAGAGGTTAAATGTGCGAGTAGAGAGAGGGGGATGGAGAACACGTGCTCAGGTACAGAAAACACTGACTGGTACTTCGCAAACTTTCAAAATGTTTGTGAGATGAGCCACTGCATATCCTGACTACTCCAACTTCACATTTTTATTCCGCTTCCGTTTTTTGATGATGCAAATTCACTCACGCTTCTTACACATCAAATAAAGAGGCCCAAATTAGGCAGTGTTCAACCCAAACAAACAAAAACCCGCCCAAACCAATGTAATGAGTTTTACGGTACTCACCTCGCAAGTCCACTTCTCTTGTCCAGCTCCCACATATTAGAAACAACTGTGTGCAGTGTGTGCGCGTGTGTGCAAAACATGGGAAAGATCAATCCTAAAAAAAACTGGCGTGGGGGCGGCGGCGCTGGCTCTTTGGGGATGGGGAAGATAGATACCTGGCCTTTGTGTTGAGTCCCGCGGGCCCGGAGCTGATGAGAACAGGAAAGGACACACTCGCTCGTACCCGTCTCTGGGATGGAAACCGGGTGCGGGGATGCCTCAGTTTTCTGCTCTACTTCTCCACAGAAAGGAGCCCTGGTCCTGAGCAAAGCCGCCTCTCTTCAAGTTGGTTGAACTGTCAGCCTCTGCCTCAGCCAGAGCATCAATGGCTGGGTAGGCGCCTCGGCGCGTGGCGTTCCCTTGGCAACCGCAGGTTCTTCCGGCCACGAAGCCACGCCTCCCTGGTAGCGATTTAGCCGCACTGCTGTTGCTTTTGGGCTTGAAGAGCTTCGGGAAAATGCCAGGGGTACCCCCAAGGAGTGCTAAAGACGGTGTGGGCGCGGGTGGCGTGTGAACTGACCCCTTTCCGGCCCGGAGCCGCGCCGTCCCCGGTGGAGCATGCTGGGAGTTGTAGGCGCGCGCACAGCCTGCCGGGAGGGGCTTGGCGCCCGCGTTTCCGGCGGGCTTCTCTCCTGTTCCTGTGCAAGCTAAGTTCGGGAAGGTCAAGTCCCAGCGGCGGACCCTCGGTGCTGCACCCAGAGAGTTGAGGATTCTCTCTGTGTTGTTGCCTTGTAGGGACTCAAAGTGGGAGCTGCAACTGCAGGACCTGACTGAACCCGGTCGGGCAAGCTGTGCCACGGAGCTGCCCCCTTTACCCTCCACATCTAATCTCTTACGGATTCATAGGCCCAGAGTCTGAGAGTCTGGAGAAGTAGAACTGTAAGCATAGGTAGGGAGAAGGGGAGAGGAGATGAACTGGTGTAAAAAGTCAAAGGCATCAACAAATGTTGGCGAGGATGTGGAGAAAAAGGAACTCTCCTACACTGTTGGTGGGAGTGCAAACTGGTCCAACCACCTTGGAGAGCTGTGTGGAGATTTCTTGACCTACTAAACATAGAGCTTCCATGTGATCCATCAATTCCACTCCTAGGTATTTACCCAAATGACACAGAAACATTAATTTCAAAGGGCACCTGCATCCCTATGTTTATAGCAGCACTATTTACAATAGCTAAGCTATGGAAACAACCCAAATGCCCAAAAATAGATGACTGGATCAAGAAGATGTGGTACAGGGCCTCCCTGGTGGCGCAAGAGTTAAGAAGCAACCTATGAAGCAATTCACAGCCACTGCAGCATGAGTTCGATTCCTGAGCAGATAGGGAGAAACCCACATGACTCAGTAGACCTCTCCTGACTTGCTGGCTGGTCCCCTCAGCAGTGTGTTTCAGTCAATCTTCCTGTTCTGTTCCCCACTCTGTCTCTGGTGAATCCTCTCACCCCCCCACACCTCTGGCCTGTACCCCAATTCTTGTATACATAAATATATATATTTTTTAAAAAAGGTGTGGTATATAGACACAATGGAATATTACTCAGCAATCAAAAAAGATAAACACATGCAGTTTGCAGCAACATGGATAGAGCTGGAAGGGCTCATGTTCATCGAAATAAGCCAGAAAGAAAAAAAGGGACCAGGAGAAAGACTAATTATAATAAAGTAAAAATTAAAATCAACAAGCAACTCTAAACCAGAAACACTGGTGGGGGGAGAGGGGAGTAGGGATTAGGGTCAAAATAAGGGGGGGTGGGAATTGTATGGGGAATATAACCAAGATGAAAATGCATACATTGTGTAAAAATATATAAAATAAAAAAATGATTTGAACAATGACGTAAAATATATACAAATAAATATTTTTTTAAAAAGAAAAAAAGGTCAAAGGCATCAATGGCAAAGGAAATATGCCAGTACTCTGGCTTTTTAGCCACTTGATTTCCAGGAAGCATAATGGCTGATTAGATTACAGCCCCCTCGTCCAACTCCCCCTCATCAAATTGGCAGGTGGTCAGGGAAAGAATAGTCCGAGCTTTTAAAGTTAGCTCCTTGCATTGCCTTGGGGATCTTTCAGTAACAAATAATCTTCCAATTGACAATATTTAGACATAGAAGTTTCTCCCCATTTTCACTACTATGCTTCTCAATGAACAGACTAGAGAGTCAGTAATTTTAAAGATTAGGATTTTTGTCAATTTTTCAAGCTACCTAACCCTACCTAACACCTCTATATGAATGGCGTTCATGACTTAAACGTTCTTCAGAGAGACTTTATCTCTCATTTCTCTTGTTAACCATGCCTATGGGATTTTTATCTCCTCCAACTAATGTTATGTTTACTACCCTGTTAGTTGGCCTGTTAAATAGACCAGGAGGGAGGGAAAAAAAAAAAAGACTAGAAGGAATTATATTAAAAACTAATGATGTCAGGGAGGCGCTTGTATGTGTATAATTAAGGGGAGTGCTTTTTCTTTTTTTCTTTCCCCAAATTTTCAATGTGGTTGTTATTTTTACAATGAAAAGAATGGTTTTGGGGTAGTGACTCTTTTGAAAAGCAAATTCTAACAACAATCCTTACAGTTACATATCCAAAGAACTGACTGTCAAATGCCCTTCTAAAAATGGAGAATGGAAAAATAATCTCCTTTATTGTGTGGCCTCAAACCAATGAGTCCTTCTCTATGTGTTAGCTTCTTACTTTCAAAAGAGACTCTCTCATCTGGTGTTTTTGAGGATTTAATAGATAATAAACACACACATATATTTGGAATATAGTAGGTGTGGTGGTTCTTAAACTGCTGACTCTCAATACATTTACAGGGATACATTGAATACTTTTCTGTGTCTGGTCATTGTGAGTTATTTTAAATTAGCTTCGATGGAAGCTAATTTCCTTGTTGCAATTTGACTTTTTTTTTTCTTGGGCATAATCAGAAGTATTATTTTCCAGAAAATTTTAGTGGACAGATTTTTCTTGTTTGGAATTGATATTTTCTGCCACTAGAGTGAGTTCTATTTTTTCATTGTGCAAAATATTTTGTGAAAATTGTAAATATAGGGAGATTTATATCCAGCTTTTCAGTAAATTTAGGCAGATACATAATTTTTGTACAAAAAATTTAGGGAGTCAGATAAGTGTAGTTGATGGCTTATTAATAGTGATGAAACAGTGGTAATAAAAGTTAATCTAGAAAGTGCCATTTTGACAATTTCATTCTTAAAAAAAATATTGACATTTGAATTTGTTGTTTTGGAACTTTGCCAGTTGACACTGCTCTCAAACTCTGCATAAAAATTGTTCTACTCTAGGGCCTCCCCAGTGGTGCAGCGGTTGAGCGCTGGGTTGCTAAGCTGCCCACAGCCTCCTGCAGCGCCAGTTTGATCCCCAGCATCAGGGTGAGGGTCCCACGTGGCGAGCAGACCTCTCCTGCCGCCCATGCCTCAGCAGAGTATTTTGTCAGTCTGCCTGTTCTACTCTCCGCTCTGGCTCTGGTGAATTGTACCCAGTGCTTGTCTAAATAAATAAATAAATAAATAAATAAATAAATAAATAAATAAATAAATCTTTGAAAAGAAAAATTGTTCTACTCTCATTGAATTAAGAAGATAGTTTGGCTTTCTTTATTTTGAGTATAAGCAACTTTAAAAATGGTATATGATTTTCTGAGGACTAGTTAAGATACCTGTATAAGAGAATAAAATTTCAGTTACTTTATTACCAGTTTTAATTTTATACTGGCTCTTGAATCTTTACTTTTGGATCTGTACTAGAATGATAAAAGTGATGAGTGAGATATGAATATCACACCATGCTGGGTAATTTAGGATACTTTTAATGTATTTTCTTATCAGAAACTTTTAAAAGAATATAGAAAAATCACTGATGCATAATTGAAAGTTTTTGCAATGAATTATTGATGGTTTAAAGTTATTTGAACAGTTGGACATTAGTGTACTTTTTGATCATCTGCAATTTGTGTACAGTATTACTTCTGCAATGAACAACTCATTTGAATCTCACAAAATATTTTGCCAGATTAAAATTATTATAAAATGTGTAAACCAGTTACTCAGTGATTTGTGTGAAATTATGTCTTGACTTTAGTGAAGGTTTGAAAATTGAAAAACTAGCTGATTTTGCATTCAAAATTACTAAGATATGTATAAAGCATCTGGATTTAAAAAACTAAAAAAATTCTATTAAAATGCATCAATACAAAAATCGCAAATTCAACCACCAGAACTGTAACTTTTATTTGTTAATAGATATTTTAATAAACAGGCTTTCTCCACCTGTAAGACCCTGATAAAGCCTCTTAGGAAATCATAGAAAAATAAAATACAATAATTAGTCATTTGTACTTTGTACAAAAATCTTAGTATGTTGCTCAGCAGGAAGTTTTGCTAAACACCATATTCTTTCAGCAAATAGATAGATGACATGTAATGCAATTCACCACATCCCTCATTGAGAGCTGAACATTCTATAACACTATTAACTTGTAAGCATGCCAACACATGAAAATTTACATGGAACATCATAATATTACAGATTTTTATAAGATGAAAATACCACCTTCAAGTAAGTCTAGCCTACTTCACTAGTATAGTAAAGTAGGTAATAGGTAGAATTACAGTTCAATTGTTAACACCCTTTACTGTGTTCATCTCTCTACCATATTGTGATAAACCAAAAAGGAGATTATAGTCTGTGGTAAGAAACCTGAGTGGAAGGCATATATTGAAATTCTAAACTGTGATATAATATCAAAGTAGGGAAAAAATATATAGTGCTGCACCTCCTTATTCTCACAAATAGATCTTTTCCCATTTTGTAAGAGTAAATGGGTACAGTGCTCAATCCATAATTGATGATAAGTAATTTTATGACAGGTTACAAAGAGATATTTAAAAATCATATTCATACTTATAGCAAAGAAATAAGTTTTCAGTTGCAGTTTTTCATTAGTCAAGTATTGGTTTGTGAGGGGTTATGTCTAACCTAGACAAATATTGTCTAGGTATTTTATATATGTACTAGTTTTTAACTAATACAATTTTTGGGATTTGTGCTACAAAGATTATTATAACTGTACCTTAGTTTGAATACACTGCAACTGTCATCTACCATTTAATATTTGACATGGCCATTTAAATATGTGTTTAATTAAATACATATTTGTATGTGCACATATATTTTTATATTTTGGACTATGCTAAAACAGCAAAAAAATGGAGTACAATCTCATTCCATTATTCACAATATAATTTTACATCAAATCCAAAGAATAAATATGTACCTATAAATTCCAACACATTGAATTACATAAAGCCTATCCAGAAATAAAGTCCTAAGTACATTAAAAAGATCACATCCTTCATATAAATTAGGGAGGACACAGTGAACAAAGTAACCATATTGCCCATATGTTTCTTCTAAATGACAGATGGTACTAATGTTTTTCATAAGAAAGCAAAAATTAAATAAAAATACTGTTTTACGGAATGATTAGAGCCCTGTTTGTCTTCTTTTTAAAAAATGCAAATGGGGTTCAATATCCTT